CAATGTCAAGAAGACAAAGATTCTCACCACTGGATCAATTGGCAGCATCAGGATGGATGGTGAAGAGATTGAGATTGTACACAGCTTTAGTTTTCTTGGCTCCACAGTCAACATTCTTGGCACCAGCAGGCAGGAAATTAAAAGACGTATTGTGATGAGAAAGTCTGCCATTAGGAACCTCTACAAAGTACTGAAGAGCAATGGTGTCTCTCTGGAGACTAAGGTGTGTCTGATACAGGCTGTATTCTTTGCGTTCACTTGTTATGCGTCAGAGCGTTGGACAATGACTAAGGAGGATAGAAGGAGAATTTATGCCTTTGAGCTGTGGTGCTGGAGAAGAGTATTGAGTGTACCATGGACTGCTAAGAAAACAAACAGATTCATCCTGGAGAGGGTTAGACTGGGCTGCTCCTTGGAAGCAAGGATTCTGAGGCTTCGTCTGACATACTTTGGACATGTTGTAAGGAGGGGCTGGCCCTTGGAGAGGGCCATTTTGCTTGGGTGGATGGAGGGACAGCGCAGGAGGGGAAGGCCATCTATGAGGTGGACTGATTCAGTGACTGGAGTAATTGGGATGGTTGTATCGGAGACAGTGCGACTGGCACAGGAAAGAGTTTAGGGCTGTTGTACATAGGGTCACTATGGGTCACAAGCGACACAAAAGCATGTAACAACAACAAAAACAACAACCACCTCTGCCAAAAGAACAATACATCTTGGAGAAAGTGTAGCCAGTGTTTCCTGGAGGCAAGGATAGAAAAGTTTCATCTCCCACACTTTGGGTATGTTGTTAGGAAGGGCTCTTGGAAAAGGACATCACACTTGGAACAGTGGAGGGTCAGAGAGAGAGGAAGACCCTCAGCAGGACAAACTGATACAGTAGGGTAGCAATGGGTAGTAAGGGCATCAGAGACAATGAGGACAGCACAGGATAGGCCAGAATTTGGATTTGTTGTTCATAGGGTTGCTATGAGTCATACTCAATGAGGCCTAACAATCACCACCACTTCTGAAGCTTGATTGGTTTGGTTCTATCAGTCTCTGCTGCTGAAGCATATACAAAGGCCAAACCTTCTGAGACTCCTACAAATTCTTACAATCTATCTCAATGTCTCATGTAAATATTCAGCCCCACCAGTCTGACTACAACTCTGGAAGTGAAATACTTATTTCTTCCCAACTGAGCAATTATACTGCGTAATTTTAGCACACAATGGAAAGGGGCCCTTCAATAATTCTCTCCTCACATGCACCCTGAGTCAATATTACCTCTCCTGAAGATCCTTCTTGCCTGGCATATCAATGCCACAATAAGAGCAATAATGATTTCTGTCCCAACTGAGTCATTCATGGCTTGATGCCAAACCCTATGTTGTTGTTAGGTGCTGTCAAGTCAAGCATGACTCAAAGCGACTCTATGAACAGTCAATATGAAGTCTGCCCTATTCTATGCCATCTTCATCATCTTGAGCCCAATGCTGAAGTCACCTTGTCAATCCATCTCACTGAGGGTTTTCCCCTCTTTGCTGGCCCTGTATCTTTCCAATCATCATGCCCTTTTCCAAGGCATGCCTTGTCTCGCTACATGTCCAAAGTATGAAAGTATGCTTCACCATCCTTGCCTCCAAGAAGCAATCTGGCTGCACCGTCTCCAAAATACATCTATTTGTTCTTCTGGCAGTCCATGGGATTTAGTGCTCTTCTCCAGAACAACAACAGAAAGGCATCAGTTCCTCCTCTGTCATCCTTTTTCACTGTCCATCTCTGATACATAGCAGGTGACTGATAAGATCACAGCCTGAATCAGGTGAACCTTAGCCTTCAAACCGCTATCACTGCTCTTCAGCATTTGAGAGATTTCTGACAACAGACTTGCCCAGGGCAATACGTCTCCTGATTTCCAAATCCTATAGAATCCATTTAAATATATTCAAGAAAGCCTTTACTTCTTTCATACACACACACACACAAGCGCGCGCGCGCGCGCATGTACTGTCTATATGTGTGTGCTGGTGGGTATGTATACATATAAGTAAACACAAACACACACATACTTATAACCAGCACTTTCTATTTTAGACACATTATGCTCATCAGTCAAAACCTTGGCAAATTCCCCTCAAGCTCCTGACTCAGAGATTCTATATTCTCCATCACCCACAGAAGTACCTTGTCACCACTGTGCCTCAGACACTGTCCCAGGCTCAGTGAGCTAGACAGACAAGCCCTGTCCTATGTAGCTGACATTCACAAGGCAGCAGCGAAGGGAAGAGGAAGGTAAAATGCCAAATTTGAGGGAGTGGTGGGGAGCCCAGCAGCTCAGAACAACAGAGGGACAGAAAGTCGGAGGGCAGGAGCCAGTGGCAGCATGGTTCTAAGAGAACAGCTTTGTGGGACATTTGTTTAACTCTCTGTGTGCCACAGTGAGGGAAGGAACTGTGCTTTCACATGCACAGCCCAGGGCTAGGCAGCACTTGATGTCAGTAGGAACAGATAGACAGCTGAATGAATGGGCGATGGCTTGGGGAACCAGGAAACCAATCCAAAGCAGCACTGAACTGTAAGCAGGGTCCACAGCTTTCAGCAGGTAATACGCTAGTTTGAACATCACCTACATGCCTTCAACAGCAGTTTTCATTTAATCAATAGACAAATACTTTCCAAGGAATTATTCCACTTCAGTATTATAATGGAAAATAAGAAAACAGGATTTTTATTACTGCATGCAGATGAAAAATATACAATTGGGCTTTGATTATATACTTTGGGAGACTGACATTCCCTTGTAGTCAAAACTCCAAGCATAGATTTTAACTGGAAAATACAGACTGCTCATGGGAAGATGATTAGCTTCACATGGAATTTTAAGCAGATAAAATTGTTTAGGGGAATAGCAACTGCAGAGGGGGAAATCTTCAAATAAGTGGCACTGAGCAGTTCAAACTCATGCTTTTCTAGAGATACTGGTACTCATTTCCTAGACAACTTTGCTAGAACACATTCACCTTAAAATAAAAAGATCTCAATTTAATTTCTAATGACTGAATCATATAAACTGATAGTTACAGAGAGCATCTATTTACTCAGCTTTTGCATAAACCAAAATATCTTTTCTAATTCATTACAAGAGAAGATCCTAGATAGGCAATCTCCTCCCCTGTGATTTACAGTCTCTGAAAACCTGCAGGAGGGTCTGCTATGAGTTGGCTCCAACTCAAAGGAACCTAACAAGAGAATTAATATACCCAGTTCAGACATATGAAAAGAAGTACCCTATCTTATGCAAAAAAACACGGGTGCTACAAGGCTACTGCAAACTGCACAACCCCCTCCAGGGCCCCAGGCACAGCATATGCACCATACAGCATTCTGTACCTGTGGGCAATTCAATGTGAAATTCAGTAATGGCTGGCATGTCAAAACGTAATTAAAAAACAGCTTTAGATCAGAGTCTAGCAAGCTTCTTCTCTAAAGGGTAGGAAAATAAATATTGCAGGTCCTGCAGATGACATGGAGTTTTGTTGCAAATGTCTCCTCTGGGATGTCTGTGTGCACAATACTATTTTAAAATGTAACTCTCTTCGCTTAGCTCTGAGGCCACAGAAGGGCTTGCTCTGCTGGCCCTGCTTTAGAGCACAGAGTTGGGCTCCTGCAATGACAGGCTCCCAACACCTCATCCAGGGGCTTACTCTTTGAGGGATTACCTCTCTCAGTCTCTCCAGCTCCTTCTGGAGGGCCTGCTTGGAAATCTCCACTTCAATCATCTGTTGTCGGAGGGTTTCATTCTCATCTTCAACTTTAGCACGCTTTTCCTCTACAGTTTCAAGTTCATGGTGCAATCTGACAGAGACGTCTTTGGCTACCTGCACAAAAAGCAATGTTTGTTATCTTCAAAGCTTTCTGCCTCCTAAGGACACACACAGACAACTTCAGAGTCAAAATCATCAAGGATCAGCAGTGCTCATATGAAGAACAAGTCTCATTCCTAAGTCAATCTTTAAGTTGCATTTGTAAATCAGTACAGGTAGGTATGAATCAGATCAAATGTTAGTCAAGTGTTTGTCTTAGTGTATAATATGTACAATACCTGTCTATGCATAAAACATTAAAGATGAAAGCATTTTTAAATACAGTAACAACAATATCCTGTTGTTGTTGTTGTTGTTATGTGCCGTCGAGTCGCCTGCGACTCATAGCGACCCTATGTACAACAGCCCTAAACTCCACTTTGTCCTGTGCCAATCGCACTGTCTACGACACTCCCATCCCAATTATCCCAAACACTTAATCAATCCACCTCATAAAGGGCCTTCCTCTCCAGTGCTGCCCCCCACCCTCCCAAGCATGATGTCCCTCTCCAAGGACCAGTCTCTCCTCACAACATGTCCAAAGTATGTTAGACGAAGCCTCAGAATCCTTGCCTCCAAGAAGCCACCCGGTTTAACCCTTTCCATGACAAATCTGTTTGTTTTCCTAGCAGTCCATGGTATTCTCAATACTCTTCTCCAGC